GTAATAAAGACCCTCCCAACAAAGCAAAGCCCAGGACCAGATGGATTCACTGCTGAATTCTACCAGACATTTAAAGAAGAACTAACTCCAATTCTTCTCAAACAATTCAGACCAATCGAAAAAGAGGAAATGCTCCCAAACTTTTTCTATGAAGCCAGCATCACCTTAAACCCTAAGCCTGAAAAAGATGCAGCATTGAAAGAGAATTACAGACCAATATCCCTGATGAACATAGATGCGAAAGTCCTCAATAAAATTCTCGCCAATAGAATGCAACAACACATCAGAAAGATCATCCACCCAGACCAAGTGGGATTTATCCCTGATATGCAGGGATGCTTCAATGTTCACAAATCAATCAATGTGATACACCACACTAACAAACTGTACAAGAAAAACCATATGATTTTCTCAATAGATGCAGAGAAAGCATTCGATAAAATACAAAACCATTTCATGATGAAAACTCCAAGCAAATTGGGTATAGAAGGAACATTCCTCAATATAATCAAAGCAATTTATGAATGGGGAAAAGTTGGAAGCATTTCCACTGAGATCTGGTACCAGACAGGGATGCCCACTCTCACCACTGCTACTCAATATAGTTCTAGAAGTTTTATCCAGAGCCATTAGGCAAGAAAAAGAAATTAAAGGGATACAAATTGGGAAGGAAGAACTCAAACTATCCCTCTTTGCAGATGATATGATTCTTTATTTAGGGGATCCAAAGAACTCTACTAAGTGACTACTGGAACTCATAGAAGAGTTTGGCAAAGTAGCAGAATATAAAATCAATGCACAAAAATCAACAGCCTTTGTATACAAACGTAATGCCATGGCTGAGAAAGAACTTATAAGATCAATCCCATTCACAATAGCTACGAAAACCATCAACTATCTTGGAATAAACTTAACCAAGGATGTTAAAGATCTCTACGGTGAGAATTAAAAAATCTTAAAGAAATAGAAGAGGATACCAAAAAATGGAAAAATCTTCCATGTCATGGATTGGAAGAATCAATATCATCAAAATGTCCATTCTCCCAAAAGCAATTTATAGATTCAATGCGATATCAATCAAAATACCAAAGACATTCTTCTCACATCTGAAAAAAATGATGCTGAAATTCATATGGAGACACAGGAGACCTTGAATAGCTAAAGCAATCTTGTAGAACAAAAATAAAGCCATATGCATCACAATACCAGATTTCAAGAGATTATGGCATATGTACTCTATGGAATACTACACAGTTGTTAAAAAAATGAAATCCTGTCATTTGCAACAAAATGGAGGAATCTGGAAAACATCATACTGAGTGAAATAAGGCAGCCCCTAAGGGACAAACACCATATGACCTCCCTGATTTGTGACAACTAACTGAGCACCTAAAAGGAAACCTGTAGAAGTGAAACTGTCAACATAAGAAGCAATGACATGATCAGCCTTTGTCCTATTGACGAACAGCTTATTATTTTATTCTTTTTAGTATTTTATTTTTCTACTTAATACTATTGGTTGAACTCTTTACTTAGCATAGAATTATTCTTAAGTGTTTAAATCCAATTGAAGATTGATCCCTGGTAATAATAAGACTGGGAATAAGATATAGTTCGGCACACATTCCCTCGGACTTACCCCTATGGGTACAGCTAAAACCTTGCCATGGGACTCCAAATCCCATTAAGTTGGCAGGTACCAATGCCATCTTAGTAGTGAAAGGGATCAATTTAAGTTCATAATTGATCATAAAGATAGGATTAAGTGTCAAAGGGATCACATAAATAAGACCAAGTGTCCGCTAATAATAACTGATAGAATTAAAAAGGAGAGAACAATCCAACATGGGAAGCAGAACAGATAGAAGACTCATAGAATCACATATACCCAAACAGCACTCTGGCCTCAGAATCAGCCCTTAAGGCATTCAGATCTGGCTAAAAAGCCCATGAAAACCTTTTAGGAATGGAAAGTAAAGACACTGTGGCAAAAAATGACCTACATGAAAGATCTCTGTGAGTGAGATCCCGGTGGAAACAAGGGGCCATCAAAGGAGGAGTTACCTTTCTCTGAAGGGAGGAGAGAACTTCCACTTTGATTATGGCCTTGTCTAAATAAGGTCGGAGTTTGCGGACTCAAGAGGCTTACATAGCCTTGGGATCTCATGACAAGAGCCTTGGGTAATCACTGACGTCATAAATTAGAGTGTCAATTGTTAAATCAACAACAAGAGTCACTGTGCACTTGCTTCCTATGTAGTACATCTGTCCTAATTGTGTTGTACTATGAGAATTAATGGTAAAACTAGTCTTCAAGTAGTACTTTATACTTTGTGTAACTGTTTGGATGCAAACTGTTGAAATCTTTACTTAGTATAGAGTTGCTCTTCTGTATATAAAGAAAATTAAAAATGAATCTTAATGAAGAATGGGATGGGCGAGGGAGTAGGAGGTGGGATGGTTTGTGGGTAAGGGGGTGGGTATGGGAAGAAGAACTGCTATAATCCAAAAGTTTTACTTATGAAATTTATATTTATTAAATATAAGCTTTCTATATAAAAATAAATTAAAATGCATAAAACACACATGGTCTCTCAAAAGCTGATAAGGAAAGAAAACAAGATAAAGGCTAATAGCAGACAAATCAAAGAAAAGGGACCTGAAGAACTAATAGATGTACCATGAGATTTTTAAGTTTCCAAACAGACAGGAAAATTAAAATATCACTTTTTCACCTGTTAAATGGTCAAAAAGTTACCAAGCTTGTTAACATGCAATAGCATCAGGGTGTGTGGAAATAATATTTTATCCTACAATGCTATGTGGATATAAATTCCTGTGAGCTTTTTAGGTAAATATATACTAAAATAAAACATGTACCTACCTTTGATATATTATCCCCACTGTTAGTTTATTTTAGAGAAATAGAAGTAAATAGAGCATAGAAATAAACTTGTTCAAGGATTTTTAAAAAATATTTAAAAATATTACTTGTAAGAGCAAAAATCTGACAACTACTGAAATGTCTGCCAAATGGAGAAGAATGGAGAATGGCTATATAAATAAAGTTCCAGGGGCCAGTGTTGTGGCCTAGCAGGTAATGCTGCTGCCTGTGACGTCAGCATTCCATACACATGCTGGCTCAAGTCCCAGCTGCTCTGCTTCAGATCCACTTCCTGCTAATGCACTGGGAAAGCAGTGGAAGATGGCTCAAGTACTTAAGCTCCTGCCACACATGTGGAACACCCAGATGAAGCTCCTGGCTCTGGCCTGCTCTAGCACTTGTTATGACAGCTATTAGGTAAGTGAACCAGCAGATAGGAATTCTCTCTCTGCAGCCCCCTGTAACTCTTTCAAATAAATCAATCAAAAAAGTTATATTCTAATAGATTAAGGAAAGCAACTATTACAGTAAAATTCCATTTTGGTAAAAATTTAAAATGGGAAAAAACCAACCTGTCTTTTTAGGTAGGTATGTATATTTGTATACATGTGAAAGTATTGAAGGAACAACAATAAACTGTTAATTCTACTTCAGGAAACATAGCATAAAGGCATGGGGAAAATTATAAAATTTTATATTATGACATATCACTTTACAATTTAAAAGTAATAAAAGGATCATTTTTAAAAGGAGAAAAGAGACTTCAAAAAGTGTAATTACAAATTACATTATGTTTAAATGACTATCAACTAAATTGACCTTCTAATGGTAGTTCTGCTAATCATACATCAGACTAAAATGCCACCACCATGGCAATAGGAAACAGAGGGAAGGAGGAAATAAATTTAAAGTATATATGAAAAACCAAACAGCCTAGATTTGAATCTTACTTGCTTTGCCATCAGTTAACAGCTAAGTACCTGTGAGCAAATTACAGGAAGCTTATCAAAGTTTCAGTTTCCTTTCAATAAAGGGAAAAACAATATATCTTATAGGAGTGTTGCTAGGATGAAATAATAATGTATGCAGGTTCTTACAAGAAATGCATGCTAATTTTCATGTATTTGTTACTGATAGAGAAAAAAGTAAACATTATAAAATGATTCTTTGGATCATAACAGGATGGGATTTAGACTGTAAAACAAGGAACTGGGATGAAATATGACTCTAGGTCCCAAAATGCATAAGCAGATATTAAGAGAAAACAGTAAAGGAAAGCATACTGAGAATTTTTAAATTCAGAAGTGAATAGTCACATATTCAGGTAGACAATAATATAAACATACATCCCACTGTTTGTTAATTTCTTATAATTAGACACTTGATTAATTCAATAATGACTGGATACTGTATACTCATACATCAAAGGCATTTATGAGCAAAACATACTTGAGTTGTTTGAAATAAAAAGGCATAAGCAACCTTTGTTCCTTTTACAAACTGACAAGCAAAATAACTGTCTAGGAAGTTAAACATACACATATATATGTGTATATATATTTAATGTTTATTTATTTGAAAGGCAGAGCGAAAGAGAGAGAGAGAAAAGAGGTAATGAGATCTTCCATGTACTGGTTTACCCCCAAATGTATTCAACAGCCAGGGCTGGATCAAGGAGAAGCCAGGAGCCTAGAACTCCATCCTGGTCTCCCATGTTGGGGCCAGGAACCCAACCACTTTAGCGATCCCTTCTGCCTTCCAAGATGCATATTAGCAGGAAGCTGAATTGGAGGTGAAGTAGCCAGACTAAAAGCAATACTCTGATGTGGGGTCCAGGCATTCCAAGCAGTGGGCCTAACTCACTGTAGCCCAATGCCTCCCCCATATTTTTTTAATGAGTTCACTCACATATTCATTTTATATATATAACAAATAATTACTATCTCTCCAATTTCAAAATTTAATTACATAGTTTAGATAGGAACCATTCTTACCTTTGCATAAGACACCGATAAAAATTTAGGGTATTCCTTTATAATATATGAATAGAGAGAGGAAGACATTAAAATATAATTACACTGATAAAGTTATTTATTTAATTAAAATTTTCCCTTACTTGAAGGAGTTGGAAAACTGTCCTCATGTTCTGACTGACAGAAACGATCTGAATGTTGACTGGTCAAATCTGCAGATTCTAGAGCCCTATAATTGAAAGCATAGTTTCAAATTGCATAAAACAAAGCAGCTCCACATACAAAACCCAGGAATGCATTGAAATAATATATGAAATACTGTATGAATACATTATCTTCAATTAAGGGTATATACCTTTTATCAGATTAACCGAGGTTTCAAGTCCTCAAAATCCCAAGTTTAGAAATATATAAGTGGAATAGTGGGATGACAGAATATTACAAACAAAAATAAGCTGGGAATTTAATGGATATGGATATGGTGAGTCTGAACAGTGTCACTCTAGATTGAATAAATGAATTAACAAATGTCACATATTATAATGAGATTTAAACCAGACAGAAAATTAGTGAAACAGAAGTTTCTTTAATTGATTTTAAAGTCAGAGTCATAATGATTTCTATCTATTACAACTTAAGATAGTAGTTATTTCATTTTAATTTACTAACAGTATGGTTTCTTTTTGAAGACATGTATTAAACTTTTAAATAAAATTTCACATGTGCCCTAGCAATTAAGACACTTATTGAGATACCAGCATCCTATATCAGAGTACCTGGGATTCAAACCTGGCTCCATTTACCTATTACAGCTTCTTTCTGCTACAGACTTTGGGAGGGCAACAGTGATGGCTCAAAAATAGCTGGGTTCCTGCCACTCACATTAGAGACATTTGTTAATTCATTTATTCAATCTAGAGTGAATTCCTTTTGTGGGGCAGGGCAGGGTTGGATGGGTGAGCCCGTGAATGGGGGTTGGCTCTGTCTCTTTCTCCCTTTCAAATAAAAATTCTCTGGAATACTGATCAAAATATGTCTGCATACAGTATGCACTAGGAATCCTTCAAAAAATAAATATGCAGAGGATATAAGATACCATTGACTTTCTGCTTAAAAAAAAAGTAACACACTAAGACTAGAAAATAGCTGACTTCTATTGTCTATTTAATAAGAAGCACTTAAGAAATATAGGAATTGTTGGTGTGTATCAAGTTTTCCAAACTTTGTCTAAGGTCTAGTTTCCACAGGTTGTTGCTATCCTTTGAAAATATGAACAGCAGAGGAGAACAAGTGCTCCTGGCTCCTGGCTTCGGACTGGCCCATTGTGGCCATTAAGGGAATGAAACAGCGATGGAAGATTTCTCTCCCTCTGCCTCTCCCCTCTATAATTCCATCTTTCAAGTACATAAATAAAACTTAAAATTTTTTTTTAAAAAAAGCAATTTCTAATGTTGGAAAAAAAACTATGGCCTCAGCTATGCTGGTGCTGAATTATCTTAAATCATCACTGGATTGCTTTATCTGGCTCATTTGTTAAAAAAAAAATATTGAAAAACACAGAAGGATTTAAGGAACAAAGGAAACCTATCTGACCTCCCAGGAAAATTATTACCTTAGAAATCAGCTTAATGAATACCTTATATTTTCCTTATATTTCCTTATATTATAATGAATGCCTTTACATTTTCCAAAGAGATACTAGACAGGATACATTAAATGCTTACTTTTTCAGCTGATCCACATCAGAGTTACTCTCCGGCAAGACCGTGATTCCCCGGCCATAACTGGTACCTCCATGGAGATGAAACTCTAGACACAGCAATGTTGCCTGGCTCTCTGAATGCACTGACTGTAGTTTGGTATGGAGACTATAGATTCTAAGAAAGCTTCCAATCTGAAAATAGATTATCATTTAGAAAGTGGAGAAAGAACAAACAACTTCTGATATTTGAAATTTTAACAACCAATGTGGGGCAGTGATCACTGCCAACTACCGGGGACACTGATCAATCAGAAAACATAACAGATACATTAAACTGGTGTGGCTGAAAATCAGATGCATGAACACTATCTTAAAACCAAATGTATACATGGGGCATGTCCATGCAGATGATCCCCATGTGTAGAAATACACACACACACACACACACACACACACTCAACTGGAAGACCTATTTCCATTTTATAGATATTAAAATGTGGAAAACATATTGCATCTTAGCATTAATAAAACATAGGTAGGGGCTCCATTACCTAAATGAAATTCAAGCACACTAATTAAGGTTTCTGAAAATAACTTGCTTTTGCTTTTTCTAAAAGTTTAAGGTAAAGTTAATTAAATATGATCAATAAAAGACTCTCATTATGAGGAAAAAGGAAACAATTTAAATGTGTGACTATTAAAATAATACACATCCATTTATCCCACAGAAAGCTCACAGAAACAAGACTTTTATGAAAAAAAAATTGTGCTCATACCACTGATATTAAACAGTCTGAGTTCAAATATGGGATTATACAGTTTTGAACAAATGGTCTATGGTTTATTTTGCTAAATTTAGAGCAAGAATGTCTTTACTTTTGGAAAATTTAATTTTGTATGAAGAAAATTTCACGAGATGCAAAATGCTATTCAAACATACTGATAGCTACAAAAAAGCAGACTATATAAATGAAATCATATTTACCAAGGCCCTTCAAAAACTTCATGGAAAAAGTGTATTATGGAAAAAAGTATGGATTTTAAAATTGGTTTGCACCAAAACAAATTCTCTTTTAATTCCATTTTTCCTGAAGCATTTTGAAGGCCTTTTGTATTATTGTGAAGCTTTATTTTTATTTTTTTATTTATTTTTTTTTGACAGGCAGAGTTAGACAGTGAGAGAGAGAGAGACAGAGAGAATGGTCTTACTTTTTCCTTTTGTGTTGTTTTACCCCACAAGTGGCCACTACAGCTGGCAAGTTGCGGCTGGCGCGCTGCGCCAATCTGAAGCCAGGAGCCAGGAGCTTCCTCCTGGTCTCCTATGCGGGTGCAGGGCACAAGCACCTGGGCCATCCTCCACTGCCTTCCCGGGCCACAGCAGAGAGCTGGACTGGAAGAGGAGCAGCCAGGACAGAACCGACGCCCCAACCGGGACTAGAACCCGGGGTACTGGCGCCGCAAGCAGAGGATTAGCCAAGTGAGCCGCAGTGCTGGCCTGTGAAGCTTTATGAACAAAAGGAGTCACTAACTAGTAAATTTAATTCCACTGCATAGACCTGATGTAGCCCCTAATGGGGCTACAATTCTTTTTTTCTTATAAGTTTAGTGTAATAGAGGTGATTTCGTCTATAACAGAAAAGACAAATGTGGGGGAGAATATTAAAAAAAGATGAATATAGCTAATCAATCTTCCATGTCTGCTTATTGTAGCTTTTCTTAAATTTCTCGTTACTCTTCAGCTCCAAGGGAGGGAGGTTAAGGAAAACAAAGTAAGGGGGACTCATCCTACTTCCATTATGGACATTGTGAGGAGGAGCTATCTGGTCTTTTTCTCCGTGACTTTTTACTTTTATCTGCATCATGCCTAGAAGTGGGCAAAAAAAAAAACAAAAATAACAGACTCAAACGCAGTGAAAAAACCAGAAAAAAAAAAAAGAAAAGAAAAATAATTTTCCTCATGGTGCCCAAAGAGACATACTAGAAGAAAATAAAAAAAAATGCGATTTGTATTGCATTCTTTCTGAATGTTTATTATTTAATGAAATGTGTGTGTGTACACATAGATAATACTATATACACATATAATACTAGTACCACATACACATATAATACTAGTATCACACACATCTATAATCTATAAAGAACTTGAAAGAAGGCCTAATCAGAGAAAAACATATTTATGGACAAAAAGCTTTGATATTAAAAAATTATAATTGCCTCCAAATTGATCTTTAAATCCAATGCAATTTCAATCAAAATCTTCAGTGTCTTTTCTCAGAATTTGAAAACCAAGTATGTACAGAAAGAGAACAGCCAAATAAGTTTGAAGAATCAAAGAGCAGGTCTTACCTTATCAAAAAATCCAAAGAAGTAAAAGCATAATAAACATGGGTATACATGCCTACATATTGAGGTACAGAAAGGGGCTTAGTCAAGTCCCTAATCAGAAATATGCGGGTAGGTAGGGACAAAGAAAGTTCAATGTAGATTTACTTTGTGGAAACACATTCAGGAATAAGTTTAAGTGGTGAGCACATGGGTGTTTATTGTACTATCTTCTTTACTATTATATTTCATAACAAAACAATTTTACAAGCCAGGATGAAATTTGTTTATAAAAATAAGACTACTAAATAAGGTTGAGAAATTGTTATCAGAAATCCTTCTGGAGGCAGCATTGTGGTTTGTTTTTAAGCATGACTAAATATATTATGAAAAGTACTAGATGGGGGCCAGCTCTGTGGTGCAACGGGCTAACGCCCTGGCCTGAAGCACCAGCATCCCATATGGGCGCCAGTTCTAGTCCTGGCTGCTCCTCTTCCGATCCAGCTCTCTGCTGTGGCCTGGGAAAGCAGTAGAAGATGGCCCAAGTCCTTGGGCCCCTGCACCCGAATGGTAAACCCAGAGGAAGCTTCTGGCTCCTGGCTTCAGATCAGCGCAGCTCCAGCCGTTGAGGCAATTTGGGGAGTGAACCATCGGATGGAAGACCTCTCTCTCTCTGTCTCTGCCTCTCTGTAACTCTGCCTTTCAAATAAATAAATATTTAAAAATAAAAAGTACTAGATGTTTTACCATAAAAGATAAGTATTTGCTTAATCTCATCAATCATATGATAAGAATCCAAAATTACAAGTGAAGTAATCATAAACAAAAAGTTATAAAAATAGAGTTTACAATGTTATTAAAGTATAATACAGAAACACTAAAAAATAAAAACAAATATAACTACTAAAATATATCCCTTTAGGGAAAAAAATTTTTTCTCCATAAATTGTCAAGATTCTCACTTTAGTTTTAATATTTTAAAAATATTTATTTGAAAAGTAGAGAGAGACAGAGATCTTCCACCCTCTGGTTAACTCCCCAAATGGCCATAACAGCTAGGTCTGTTCCAGGAGGCAGGAGCCTCTGCATCTCCCACCTGGGTGCAGGGGCCCAAGGACTTGGGCCATCTCCCACTGCTTTCCCAGATGCATTAGCAGGGAGCTGAATCAGAAGTGGAACAGGGACTCAAAGCAGAGCCAGTATGGGATGCTGGTGCTGCAGGGCATAGCTTAACCCACTGTGCCTCAGCAGCAGCCCCTAGGTTTACTATTTTTATTTTCATGTACTTGACTCAAAATAACCAGTCTAACCACAGCTACTGGACCACTGAAAGCAAAAACATAATTATGCCTATGTGTGTTTTATATATGTTTTATAATTATTTAAAAAGCATACGAGGACAGGACTGAGTATTTAAAAATATATTTCTGGCCGGTGCTGTGGCTCACTTGGTTAATCCTCCACCTGCGGCGCCAGCATCCCTGGTTCTAGTCCCGGTTGGGGCGCCGGATTCTGTCTCCGTCATTCCTCTTCCATTCCAACTCTCTGCTGTGGCCTGGGAAGGCAGTGGAGGATGGCCCAAGTGCTTGGGCCCTGCACCCATGTGGGAGAACAGGAGGAAGCACCTGGCTCCTGGCTTTGGATCAGCACAGCGCGCTGGCCGTGGCAGCCATTTGAGGGGTGAACCAATGGAAAAGGAAGACCTTTCTCTCTATCTCTAACTCTGCCTGTCCAAAAATATATATATATATATTTCTAACTTCTAAACAACAAGTTTGAAATTCAAGTAGGTATGCATGTGTCTGTGTAAAATGTCTGGGGCTGACATAAGTCACATAAAAAGCAACATTTAGAAAAGAGTGAAAAAGCACAAAGAACAATTTAGGCTGTAAAATGTACTGATTATCAAGTTTATTATACTTTAAATTGTAATGATTATCCTCTTTATTAAAAAAGTTCTAAGTCTCTTGAATTGGTTTCATTTATTTTGATATAAAAATGCAATTTGAAATATATGTCAAAGTGCTGATAAGAATTCATTGTTCAAAATTCATTTTTATTAATCATGTAAATAAAGAGTTCCTAGCTTAATGTTATATGGATTGTCAGAAAACAAAAAATGTGATGTGAATTTACTTTAAAGTCCAGAGTTATGTTTCTTGTAGAAAAAATGCTTTTCATTTTTATACTGTATTACAAATAATGCTCAGTTTTTTCAACAGAAATAACATGCCATATTTCTTGATTATGTGTGCTCATATCACCCTCTAGTGGGCAAAATAAAACAATGATTATAAAGAGAAAAAATCTAAAAACATTCATAGCATTCACTGATTCATTCACTAGCAGATATTACTTCCTCTTCATTATATAGAAAACACTGCTAAGTGCTGATCAAGACAAACAGAGAAACACAACAACCTAGGGAAACAGAAGGAAATCAAAATTGTAAAGGTAGATATTCAGAGCATGCAACTGAGGTAATGCTGAAATGCAGACTCTCCACTTATAAAATAGCTCTATCTGCAATTAAAAAAACCTTCACAATAGGATTTATCACTATTTTTAACTTTTGTAATTAACTAATAAATTTAGACAATAGCTTTTAGAGAAAAAATAAGAAGTTTATCCTCAATAGCTAATTTTTTTCTGGTACAGCATCTATGCACATGTGTGTGTACCCACACATATACATACACTTCTATCAATGTCCTGGCTTTAACCTAATTTATTTGTGTGAGTTGTGTGAGCATATTTGTGATACGGTGTGGGAGAGAAAATATTTTCTCCTTCATACATTTTATGTTTTTACAAAGGAAAACGACACTAAAACATAGATATTCAGTTTTACTATTTTCTTTTAACTTCCTATAAGTAGACTGAAATACATTTGCAATAAGGGAGATCATTTCTTTTTAATACTTAAGAAGTATTAGCTTTGGAAATAAATATTGTAGATTAAACCTGGCTTCATTCAACCAGCTCACTTAATCCCTGACTGCCTCACTTTTCTCATTTGTAACAACAGGATATCAATACAATGGCCACATAGCAGAGTACCAAATACATATAAAGTGTATAGCAAATGTCATTATTTTACTTATGATACTATTTGTTAAAAAGGTTACTTCTAAATAAAATGAAGAAAAATATTCCCTACAACTTGTGTTGTCAATTTACTAAGAACTGTCATTTCTAAATTGTATACTTTTACATAAAAAGAGTACACCTTATTTATAAATTTTAACTATTGCATACAAAGTCATCTAGAGTCTATCAAATCAGTTAACAAAGCTTAACATTTAAACAACATTTTAGTAACATTTTAAAGCAGTATATCTCACATGACAAATTGTCTTTACTATCTTCACAAACTGTGCATGGATATAAGATATTTAGGAAATATTCTTTATTTTATAAAAAATATTTAATCCATTTTAATTCTTACAAATAATTTTAAATATACCTCTAAAATCTAAAATTCAATAAAATATAAATTTGAATTTTTAGACTCAAAGATCACTCTATAAATGTAACTGCTTTCCACAAAAATTTATAAAAACAGAGTAGAAAACATTTTTGCTACTCAACATCACCTTTAGAGATCTTGCCACTTGAACATGGTTATCATAGACTAAAATGTCTATTGTCAGATTCTGTAGCCGATGGATGTGACTTATATCACCTTCGAGAACAAGATCTTGTATCAGGACTCTCCAAGATGGGAAGGGTGTCCTATTGCCATCCCACACCTGCCAGAAGAGAGTATAGTAAAGTTTAACCATCTTTAAAAACTAATTAATGGCTGGCACTGCAGCTCAATAGGCTAATCCTCCGCCTGTGGCGCCGGCACACTGAGTTTTAATCCCAGTCGGGGCACCGGATTCTGTCCCGGTTGCCCCTCTTCCAGGCCAGCTCTCTGCTGTGGCCCGGGAGTGCAGTGGAGGATGTCCTAAGTTCTTGGGCCCTACACCTGCATGGGAGACCAGGAGAGGCGCCTGGTTCCCAGCTTCAGATCAGCGTGGTGCACCGGCTGCAGCGTGCCAGCCACAGCAGCCACTGGGGGGCGAACCAATGGCAAAGGAAGACCTTTCTCTCTGTCTCTCTCTCTGTCCACTCTGCCTGTCAAAAAAAAGAAAAAAAAAAAAAAACATCTAAGAGTTTTACTTTCTAGAATTAAGACTCAAAAATAGTTAAATGCATGCCTCTAATATTAGTGATTATAAATGAACTGATATTAATTATGGGTAATGTAAAAAATGTAGAATGGCAAAAAAGAACAAAAATCACACTAAGCCTTGAGAATATACTAACCTATTGTGGATTTTATTTCATGTTTTCTTCTACGTATTTATACGATATATGTCTTGTTCTATAAAAAATGGCTTTATATTCTGCTTTTCTAAGTTTATTATTAATACTTTATCAGGTAACTTAAATATTACTTGAAATACAATTTTCAATGTCTTCATATTATTTTATGTATGGATAGGCACACCTTTAATCCCTTTGTTAGGTGAGCTGTTTAAAGCATTGTATTATTTTAAATTATTCTGTGATTGTTATCTTATATATAAATTCTTTTGAAATTCTTTGCTAATTTTAAGATAAATCTCTAGCCTAATGTTAGAAATATAACCTGAACCCCCCCCCCTTTTTTTTTTACTTTGTTCTGATTTAGAAAATCTTCTTAAAAGTACAGATACGAATGTTTTGTTCACATTAGATGTTAGGAATAAAAATGAATGAAAACAATGGGCTCTAGGAAAGGAAAACACACACTGGAGTGTTATGAAAGTTACCTTCAGATGATGGGAATATGGAATTAGCATGACTAAAACATGCACTGTCCAGCCAGGATTTGAAGAGATGAATTGACCTATGCCATGTCACAAAATGGCATGACAAAGGACAGTTGGCAGAGATAAGAATATATCTCAGAAAAATTTTGGCTGGACACGAATCAGCAAGCTATTTGAATGAAAGACACTAGATTTTTATGGAACAGGTCAGATCAGTGACAGATGAGTGTCAATTCCCAGAGGAAGTATTAAATAATGCTGCCATAGTAACTAAGTTTCAAATTTAAAAAATCATGTCATAATCAGTAATACTGTACTTGTATGTCACAAGCATTTTTCTCCACTTAACTTTATTATTTAATTCTGAAATGTCACATCAAATCTCTATCTGTTAAGTATCTAACATTACACCATAACTGAATTAAAAAAAACTGTGTTGTTATACAGCACATTATCATTTTCATATATTATTGATGTTTTATAATATTTGATCAATAATTTTGGTTTCTGGGGCACATGATTAGCCTAGTACTTAACACCATGGTTAAGATACCTGCATCCCATATTGGAGCACCTAGGTTTGACACCTACTTCTGGACTCCAGCTTACTGATGAAGTATATCCTGAGAGGTACTGGTGATTGTTCAAATAACTGAGTTTTGGAGACCCATGTGGGAGACCTGGATTGAGTTCCTTGCTCATGAGGTTAGCCTAGCCCAGTCCAGCTCCAGCTGTTGTGGACATCTGGGAGATGAACCAGTACAGATAGGCACTCACTTTTTGCTCTCAAGCCTCTCAAATTTCTAAAAACACTTACTAAAAAAATGAATTTTGGTTTCTGTACTTACAAGTGAAACTGAGATTTTGTGTCCTTGTGTAGTATCTGTAAGTTCAATAATATCTGGGCTGAAATCACTTTAATGGTTAATTTAATAGAAGGAGCTGGTACCATGGCGTAGTGGCCTAAGCTTCTGCCTGCAGTGCCAGCATCCTATATGGGTGCCTTCCTGACCAGGCTGCCCTTCTTCTGACCTAGCTATCTGCTTATGACCTGGGAAAGTAGTGGAAGCTCAAGTGCGTGGGCCCCTGCACCAATGTGAGAGACCTGGAAGAAGATCCTGGCTCTTGGCTTGGGATCAATCCAGCTCCAGCCGTTGCAGCCATTTGGGGAGTGAACTAGCAGATGGAAGACTTTTCTCTGTCTCTCCCTCTCTCTCTAACTCTACCTCTCAGATAAATAAAGAATTTTTAAAACATAATAATTTAATTAAAAATGTAGAAATAATCAACTTAATCTAGATTTTCATATTTATCTGCTTGATAGTTGATATTTTCTGAAGTTTTATATAAACTTCCCCATATATGTAGATATATCCCTTATATCATTCTTAAGATTTTCTAAAATGAAAAAAAATTAAAAAGACTGAACTTTCTTTAAGCTATTGATCAGACTTTATCTTTTTCCACTTAAAAACATTCTTGCCTCCCTACTAGGAAACACATATTTTCACACAGGTCTTGCTGTTCAGCCATAGAACACAACCTCTATGGAGGTCATTTTCTTGCTATCAAAATTTGAAACACACATATGTCTGGCTTATTAAGTCTAGAACTTATCTTTACAGATCTACAAGTACATAAATTAGCGTTTAAGTCAACCACTTAAATTCACATTAATGGGATGTAAGTTCAAATAAACCATGCCATATGTTCCTATGATGAAAAGGAAAATACCTGAAAATACCTAGAATCTGTGAAAGATCTTACATGGACAACAATTTCTCTTGCTCCTTGCAGTTGTAATTAACGAGCTGAGGTCATATTGGATTAAAGGAGGCCCTAAATTCAGTGACTGGTGTCCTCATAAGAAGAAAACATTTACCCTCTCACACCAAGCAAAGAAGCATCTGACAATAGAGAAGGAAGTACTGCAGCTGGAAAGGCAAGGAATGCCAATGATACCAACAATCACCAGAAGCTAGTAAAGAGGCAAGAAAAGATTCTTCCCTAGAGCTTCCAAAGGGTGCACAGCCCTACAACACCAGAATTTCAGGTACTGGATGTCGCTCCCCCTCTTCGTGGAGGAACGACACAGGACCCTGCGCTGTTCTTTCGTCTGCTCGGCCCTCCCCGGGTTTGCTGCTGGTTCTTCCCGGGTTGGCTACTGTCCCTTCCACCTCCGTGGAAGGGCGGTTCCCCCTGGCCGCTTTCCCCCTTCCGCAGGGGAGCGGCACACCGCCGGCCGGCCCTCTCGGGGGCTGCACAGGTGTTCCTTCAGCTAGATGTTCCCCTTAGATGTTCCTGGTGCATGCCGTCTCTCTCCTCCTTTATAGTCCTCCTCCGCCAATCCCAACTCGGCTGCCCACACGCCGAGTACGCTGCTCTCCTCCAATCAGTAGCAAGTCCTACAGTTTATTGGTTGAACTGGAGGCAGCTGTGCGGAAGCTGTTTACTTCTCTCCCAGCGCCATACTGTGGGAGAGCAGATGCATAGAATAAGTCTTAATTCCAGTAACTCAGTCTAGTCCGGTTTGCTCCCCACAACTGGACTCTAGAAAGGTGAGAGAATCTGTTTCTGTCAAGTTAAGCCAACTATTTCACGGTAATTTCTTATGGCAGGCAAATTCAAATAGTGAGCTTTTAAAGTGATGATATGACAAAATCTCTAAGAAAGAATTAAGTGAAAAGGCCATGGCATAGCAGTGTGTGCATGGTTGTCCCTTGATATCTACAGGGAATTGGTTCCAGGATTTCAGATACAAAAATCTGTGGATGTACTTTCTAGTCCTCTATGTAAGATATGTATATTGGTATATTTAGTATGCATATCCTCCCATATATAACAGATCAGCTTCCAATATAAAAGCTTTGTAACAGCTGTTATATTATATTGTTTAGGGAATAATGACAAGAAAAAAAAAGTCCATGTGTTCAGTACAGATGCAGTTTTCAACAAATCTGTTCAGTCTATTATTGGTTAAATCCAAGGATGCAGAACCTGCAGACACATGAGGGCAATGATAGCATGCATCATGTAACAGAAAGATGAAAGAGAATACCTGTAAAATAAGGATAAGCACAAAATATGTTTGAAAAGATACTTAACAAACAAGTTTCAGTTGTTACTTTTTGGAGGGAGAGATGGAGAAGAAGAAAACAAAAGAAATAGGCAAACAAGAAACTTTTCACTACACAGCATTTAAATTATCTTCTAAATTTTTAGACAATGTTTAAACTATTGTTCCAAAAACTAAAGACTTTATTAAAATCATTCCTTCATGCTATACACAGTTCTGGTATTTTTTTCAATTTCTTGAGTTGAAAGCTTATTTTAATATTCTATGCTTTTTCCTTATTGTTCACAAACACACTTAAGGTTCTAAGATTTGCTTTTGGGTGTATCTCCAGACAAATGTTTTAATCTATTATTACTAATATATTCTACCTTTGGATGTTGTTGCTTTATCTTCAAGTCATACTTGAGTTAATTATTTTAGAGCAAGCACATACATTTTCATAGTATTCCATGTATATGTGCTATGAGTGTTCAACAAACATTTTCCCATTTTTTTCAATGATTTCTATCTTCACTGTTCCTTGATATAGTCAAGGTATAAATGACAACAATACTAAATTCCGAGAAAGTAGTGAGTGACAAGGAAGGTGACTTTGACATCAAGCAAAAATATTCATATGTAAAACTGCAACTAATCTAATAATGGAAAACAGCCACTAAACAGAAAATACTTTATGTAACATATAGATCGGATAATAGTTTTTTCTTTGGAAGAGAAATGAGAGAACAATGCAAGAGAAGAGACGCATGTAAATTGTGGTTCATGAAAAATGTTATGCTTTAATTTCTTACCATACTATACATTATACAAATTTGTTCTATTAAAATGCTGCAACATTTAGGCAGTGCAGACTTAAAATGATAAATATTTTAAAAATCTACCTTTAGAAGAAATGATGCTCCATCGACTTCTGCCTTGCCCAAAAGCTGACAAGTCAGGTCAAAATACTGCATTGGTTGAACATCACATAATTTTAATAAGGCTGAGGAAGGTGAAAGATGAGAAGATGCCCAAACACGTAAGGCTTCTACCATTTTGTGGTCCTTAGTACTGAAGTTGAAATACTTGCTTGAAGTACGAGGTATGACAGGGGCGCCCAGAGTTCCCTCAAAGGTCAACGATGCAAAGCCAGAGCTGGTGATACCTTGAGTTTCCTTTTTATATTCTTGAATCTAAGAAAGTACAGCAAAGTAGAAAACAGACACAAACAAAATAGCTTACTAATAGAGAATCTGGAACTGAGGAAATTTAAAACATTACACATTTTTTATTGAGGGTATAATTCTTTTTTTTTTAATTTTTTTATCTTTTTTTAATGAATATAAATTTCCAAAGTACGACTCATGGGTTACAATGGCTTCCCCCCCAATACCGTCCCTCCCACCCACAACCCTCCCCTTTCCCACTCCCTCTCCCCTTCCATTCACATCAAGATTCATTTTCGATTATCTTAATATACAGAAGATCAGCTTAGTATACATTAAGTAAGGATTTCAACAGTTTGCTCCCACACAGAAACATAAAGTGAAAAATAATAGATGATTTTTTTTAAATGATGATGAAATCAGATCAGATCAGACCTATTGTCATGTTTAATCCCAGTGAGAGTCAAGTTGGGAATTGATAATTTTTTTTTTTTTTTTTTTACAGAAGATCAGTTTAGTGTACATTAAGTAAAGATTTCAATCGTTTGCACCCCCATAGAAACACAAAGTGAAATATACTGTTTGAGTACTCGTTATAGCATTAAGCCTCAGTGTACAGCACATTAAGGACAGAGATCCTACATGAGGAGTAAGTGCACAGTGACTCCTGTTGTTGACTTTACAAATTGACACTCCTGTTTATGGCATCAGTAATCTCCCTATGCACCAGTCATGAGTTTCCAAGGCTATGGAAGCCCCTTGAGTTCTCCGACTCTTATCTTGTTTAGACACGGTCATAGTCAAAGTGGAGGTTCTCTCCTCCCTTCAGAGAAAGGCACCTGAGGGTATAATTCTTTAATTCATTTAATTGGCATATGGAATTATAAAATCATTTGGTGTTATATCCAAATATACATGCAGCATGTAAACTGTAAAACTACAACACTTATTTTTGTACTTTAAAGAGAGAGCCTCTCTAATCCTACCCAGCTTGCATTTTTTACAAAGGATAACACGTGGGGCTGGCATTGTGTCATAGCAGGTAAAGTTGCCGCCTGTGATGCCAGCATTTCGTAAGGGTGCTGGTTTGTGTCCTTATTACTGCACTTCAGATCTAGCTCCCTCCTAATGGCATGGAAAAAGTAGCACTTGGGCTGCTGCCACCCACATGGGAGACCCAGATGAAGCTCCTGGTTCCTAGCTTTGGCCTGGCCCAGCCCTGGCAGTCACAGCCATCTGGGGAGTAAACAAATGGATAGAAGATTCTCTCTCTTCCTCCTATCCTCTAATTCTTTCAAATAAATAAATCTTAAAAAAAATAGTTTTTACATGTGCTACAGACAAAAACAGGACACTTAAAATATGAACGTGAAGTGACTTAAATGCAGGTGATGCTGAGATTATATGTACTTAATTATTTGAGAGACAGAGAGCTCTCATTTGCTGGCTCACTCCCTAAATGCTTGTGAACAGTTGGCACTGGGCCAGGACAAAGCTGGGAACCACTGGGAATTCAATCTAGGTCTTCACATGAGTAACAAGGACCCAAGTACATAAGCTGTCACTTACTGCCTCCTAGGGTGCACATGAGCAGGAAGCTGGAATCCACAGTGGAGCTGGGTCTCCAACCCAGAAACTCCAATATGGGATGAGGGCATCCCCAGCAGCATCTTCATCATTAGGCCAAATGCCTGCCTCAAAGCTAGTTTTTAATCAGTGTCACTGAGCTGAAACATGCCATAAAGACTTTTGCTTTCTAAATTCTGGGACACATTTATTAGTTGGACAAACATTTATGATTGTTATATATTCAGAAAGGGACACTTTATCCTTAAGAATTGTCCCTCCATATTTGTAATACCATCTGATAAATTATAGTTATTCTCTTTATGCTTATGTTTTGTTTGATGAATTTTTTCCACAGTTTTACTTCCAAGCTGTTTAGATCTTCATATTTGAAGTGCATTTTGGAGGCCAGTGCTATGGCCTAGTAGGTTAAGCCTCTGCCTGTGGCAGCACTGGCATCCCATATGGGCACTGGTTTGAGTCCTGGCTGCTCCACTTCCAACCCACCTCCCTGCTAATGGCCTGAGAAAGCAGTGGAAGACGGCCCAAGTGCTTAATTTGTTGAAAACATTTAAAATATTTGCTTTAACATTTTTTTAATGTATAAATTTAACACCTGGGCCTTCATGAAACTAGTGCAAAAATGTGTGGGTTTTTTTTTTTTTTTTTGTCCCTTTATTTATCGGTTAAGATATTCCAGTTAATCTCTAGTATTTCTCACCCATCCCCTACCCCGACCTTTACCATATATTGCGAAAAACTAAAGGGGAACATAAAAGCATCCTAGATCCAGCAAGGTCATGTCTTGATAAGAAAAAAAAAAGGCACTAAGCTAGGCAGTTTATAGAAACATTGTTTATATTACAATATGGTAGGGAAGCTCCTGCACTTGACCTTAGCCAAAAGGCTGAGAATCCATAGGGAAGCTCCTGGAACCAGCTCAGAACAAAGGGAATGAAAACATGGCATTAGCAGCATCTACTCAGTATTTACTAATGCACAAGCTTTTTACAAACCTGTAGCACTAGCGCACCCATCAGAATGTGTGTTATCATACAAGGAGGACAAAGGAAGTAAAGCTGAAACAGGGAACTAGCAAAGGGATATAAGACAATGCCTGGCTTCATTTGTCTTTGAACGTGAATCTGCTGGGCCAATACGGGCATCATTGAACTGTTTCCTGCTTAAAGACTCAGTGTCCCACCTCTGTTCTAGTATCCTGCTACAACAATAGCCGTAAACTAGAAACTAAATGTCCAAAAACAACAGAACATAAATCAAAGATCATTTAAGGCACTGAAAATGAACAAAGTAAAATGACAAGAAAGAAATATGGCTGAATCACACACGCATGAGCCAGGCATTTAGAAAGGAAACAAAAGGAAACTACACCTATTCCTTTTTACAAGAGATTTAAAGAACAAATACAGATGGAAGTGGTATGTGCTGTCAGACGCCTGTCAATTGTTTACTCCTGGAGGAATATCCCTGGGCAGGGAGTGGAGGAACATTACTGATTTTCCTGGATAGGGAAATGAAGAAGTTTCTAGAGTGCTAGTTACCAGAGTATGCTTACATTATGAATGGTGAGATACCCACCTCCTTCAGTTAAACAGGAGCAAGAGTAACAAAAAATGTTAGGAGCACAGGGTATACAGTTTGAACAAAAATAATATAGGAAGCAATAATTTATGAGAAGCAATTCCTTTAAGTATGAACAAGCCTGTAATGTACTGCTATGATAATAATTCCATTTTGTTTTTATCTGTACAAAAATAAGTCTCTAGTGTCTATCTGTTCTCTAGGAAACAGCATCAGTGGATCAACACAAGTAACGCCCATGGTATTGAAACATAGAACACACTTGGAATATTCTCCCCATTTACAAGCAACAGAATGAACATAAGGGACATAGTTATGTAAAAGCATTAGTAGAAAAATACAACCAACATAATGTAGGACTTACATGGAAATCCACATAATAGAAAGAAAGATGAAAAAAGTAAAATGTTTAAAATCTAAGGGACACAAAATACTGAAGTACTGAAAAAGTGTCCAGAGTACCATGTGGTGATTTCCAAAGAAAAGTTCAATAAAGCTAAACAGAACAATTAAATTAAGGAACTATTAAAACAAAGATAGGAATTTTGAGGAAATAATCTTGAGTTAAGTTCTAAAATTATTATTTAAAACAATTATTGGTTTCATTACATTTTTAACAAAAAGCATTTTTAAAACTGTGTTCATAATTAAAAATATTTTTCATACATGAAGATCAATTTTATTTTATACTTAGTATCTTAAGTTTTCATTGTTCTTCAATTCATCCAAAAGAGAGCAAAGAATAGTATTATCTCCTAAACTTTATAAACTGTTTATTATTGTTGATATTAAATTTAAAAAACAATTAAGCAATGTTCTTTATCAAATTCTGTTAGGAAAGCTCTTATAGTATCAATTTATATTTGGAAGCAAAAGACAGAATGCAACTAGTTTGAATAATGGCACCTAATATACTGTTGGGAAGGCAGGCAGCTTATTTAAAGAGGTTTCTTCCTACAATTTATCCTAAGTCTGATACTATTTACATTTCTTCTTTCCTGAAATGCCTAATGTCATGTACCAACAAAGCAACTGCATGATTAGTGATAACTAGCTTTATTGAATAATGTGAACTTTTTTTTTTTTAATATTCAGTTTTAGATAGTGTGAATTATACCTTCAGTCTATGAAAGCGAACAATATCTCCAATTTTATAAATTTTTGGAAGGGCTTCATAGTTTCCACTAAAGAGCAGGCAGGTCAACTTTACATTTGTTTGGTCCACAATCGTAACAACAGAACAATAATCTGTAAAACACAAGAATATATTACCTTTTAGTATTTCAAAGCATTTGATAAAGTAAGAATATGTTTATTTCAAAACAACAATTTTTTTTCCTAATTTAGGTCTTTTAGAAGAAAATCAGAGACATTTTCTTGGCTATCAACATACAATGCCAAAATACTGTACAAAAGTCCTCTAAAAATTACTGTAACAAAGTTTTATAAAATGAATATAAAAATCCCACTTAAACTGTATGGGGAGTTAAGAACTTTATTACTTCAACATTTAAGAATCACGAAGTAGATAAATATATTCTAATACACAAATATAACTTGCAAATTAAACTCAGTTAAATTTAGAGTGAATACAAAAGTATTTGTTGCAAATATGATGAAGAGTCTTATCTGTTCTGCATAAAGACTGCATAAAAACTGTTTCAAAAACCTAGGATTTTATAGTCAACATTTAATACAAATAAAGAAGTTCACAGAAAGTGATGTAACAAGACACTCAAAAGGGAAAATGGTTAGTCTTGCTAGTCATCTATAAAAGGTTACACATGAAAATAAGAAAAAGGTACTTTATACAGTTTAAACTGGCCAAATAAATCAGTGATACTGAGTTGCAACTTTCAACACTAGTGGTAGCGACATTGCTTCCTAATACTCATTTTAAAACCTGACGTGAAAAAATGCAGACTTTTTGTCCTTCCCAGTACCTGGTAGTGGTGATGCACAGATTAAAAAGACCCAAAATAGTGAAGGAAAGGAGATGGGAATACAGCAACATGTTTCCAGAAAACAGGAAAGAAAATGGTTAATGTGTAAAAATGAATAGATGAGGCTGAAATTCAAGAGAGTAAAAGGTGGTTTTGGTGAACATGGGAACCAAGAGGATTGGGGATGGAAAGCAGAGCTGAAATAAGAGGATTAGTTAAAAGTTTACACACACACCAAGTGATTCAAAGACCACACATTTTGAACTCTCTTTGCCTCCCCTACCCCCATAATGACTTCAGGTCGCCAGACACAATATCTTACTTAGGTATTTAACACCACCTCTCCCAGGAATACAGGCTCCTTTTAAAACAAAGTGTGTTCGATTAACTGAAGAATGGTAAACTTCTCATGGAGGTTTTAATACCCAAATAAGTTCCTCATCATACATTAGTGATTGTGTAGCTTGATACACAGTTCCCTTTCCCCTACCCTAGACTGACACTTTCAACTAGCATGCCCTCTGCAAGGACTGTCTACTATCTCTAACAGATTCACACTCATGGAGGACAGCATGTCAGAAAAACAAACTACTCATATAAAGCTAAAGACACAACTCTCTATAACATAAAACAAATCTTATCTACATTCATATGTGGGAAAAAATAGGAAACAATTACTAGACACAGGAGCAAAAAAAAAAAAAGGGTAAGGCAGGGAGAAAAGGAGGGGAGAGCGCGCACGGGGGAAAAGAAAGAAAAGGGGAGAGGGATGGGTGAGGAAAATGGGGACAGGAGACAAAGGAGGAAGGAAAAAGAATTTCCATTCCATGAGGAGCGGGAATCCATTAGAGGACACGAAAAAACTGAAAAATAAAACCAAAACCTTAACAAGCAGACTTCAAAACTAAGAAAAACATACTACATTCTCATCCCTTGATATACTGTAAGGATCCACTGGACCCAATTTTAGTTTACTGAGTATCCTTTTTCTAACTCTATGTAAGGATTACTTCATGACATTTTTTCCTACTATCCATCTTCCAATGATCAAAGATGAACTTTATTTTTTAAAAAGAATAACACTCAAATTCTTAGTTGTAATTATCAAATAGTTACTCATTATCCTAGTAATTATTTCAACACCAAATAGCACTTATTCCTGGAAATGCCAAAAAAAAAAAAAAAAAGAAGTTAATTTTTTAAAAGGTGGAAGGAAGAAATTGCCTAGAAGGATACAGCAAAACAAATGATCATTATTATCTCATCCCTCAGATTCTATACTGCATTGAAAAAGTTTTACAACATCTTTCAGGAAGGTAGAAAAGAGGTTTGGAGACACTGTCTTTGGGATTTCTTCTTTAAAGTTGATGTAAATATAGATAAAATGTCAATATTCTGGTTGACATTAAAATTTTACATATTTATAGAGATGCTTCAATACATGTATATTGTACTGTATTCAGTACATTGTATAATCTTCAGTTAGGCTAAGCAAATTATCTCTTCAAAGATTAATCATTTCCTTGTTGTTAAGACATTCAACCTTTCTCCTGGCTTAAAAAAATACAGTACATTATCATTATATATAAAGATCCTAAAAAGTACAATGGAATACCACAAATTATTTCTCCTGTCTCACTTTAATTCAGTAGCCACTGGCCAAACTTTCCTCACCCCTCTCTACCATTACTCTCCCCAGCCTCTGGTAACCATAGAATGTACAAATTCTTGTTCAAAGAAAAAAATTGTGAAAAAAATATGAGAGAAGTCTCAGGAGAAAGGGGCTCTATGGCATGTTTTCTGAGGAAGAGATCCTCTTTGAGGAAAGCTGGACATAGCCTACTTTGACAGGATGAGGTTACCTCTTTCCTTACACAATTTTCTTTAAAACCCTGGGGAACTGAAGATTTCTATAGTTACCTTAAGTGTATAGATGATTAAGTAAATTTTTCTGTAAGATATATTGTCATAGGAATTCATGTAGTAAGAATACAGGTCTTTCTTAACTTTAGGTTTCCTATGCTTTTGTGGAACAGTCAACAGCAAACAAATACTCTATAAAATAATTCAAGGGCAAAAGAGCCACACTAAAATATTCTGCTTACTATTCCTACTCGATACACTTCTGCATCCCAGGCTAAAAATCATAACCAGATAATATTTGTTATTTCATTCCACAAAATTGATTTCACTAGTACAGTGTATGACACACCCTCAAATAAATCTTTTAAGTACAATATCTGGCCAACAGAGGTCCCAAAAATAACTTGTTCAACAGAGAAAGAAAAGTTACTGGAAATGAATGCCACAGTTTTCCAAATAAAAGAGGCCACTGAAAGCAAACAGGATTAATGATCACATCAAAACAAATTACCATGAAACTGGAGAACAAAAAAATTCTCTACAGAATAAAATAGGTCAACTATGTATGACTTAAAAGTAGATAAGCATTAAATGTCTCTATCAATATGACTATGGCTACTGAAGACAGCAGAGCCATGGCTTCAAAAGTGTGATAATTTTTATCTTTGAATTTTATAAAACCTGATAAAACTATCAAGTATAATGACAGATTAAGAACATTTTCAGACTTTAGCAAATCAGAAATTTTAGTCCTTACAATCTTTTTTTTGCTGTCTAGAAAAACAATGGGAAGATCACTAAAATAGGAAAATGTAGATTAAAGACAATAGTCGTGAAACTACTATATTGATAGCCAGACAGAAGGTCTACCAAGCAACTGCTCTGTATCATAGCAGACAGAAGGGAGCTGAGAGCAAAAGAGAACCTCTGTTTAAAGAGTAATCATTTAATATTGCCTTCCAGATTCATCCTTGTTGTCATGAATATCAGAATTTCAGAGGGATGGGGAATACGAGTATGTTGACCAATGAATACAAAGTTTCAGTCAGACAAATAGAGTAAGTTTCTGAGATCTGTTGTACAACATGGTGACCACAGTTAATTATATGTATTATACATTTCAAAATTATTTAAAAATTAGATTTTAAATGTTCTCTTCCCCAAAATCATAAGTGAGATAATAATCAGTTTAATTATTCCCCAATGTACATATACAATAAAACATCACATTGTACCCCATAAATATGTTCTATTATTTGGTAATTTGAAATAAAAAATAAATTAAATATAACCACACACAGCTACATATTTACATCAACTTGAGGATATTGTGAAGACATACTACTATTTCCCTATGAATGATAATAACAAAAACAAAAATCGATTATAAACTTCAGGAAATATAAAGTGATCACAAGAGATCACTGTTGTTAGAAAATCCAAATTAGGTAACATCATCAGATTTGATCGTTTTACATTGTTTGTTAGCAGCTTCTGCAAAATCACGTATCACAGATTCATTTTTAAGAGAATATTTCTTATGTATACTGGATAGCTATTCAGTGTTTACATGCTCATTTCAAGCTGCAGTGATTTTATATTTCTCCTCTCACTTTAAATGCTTCAAAATAATCCACTCTTGTAAACTGGGGTATACTGCAAGAACAATATTGCAGATCTAACTGCATAAATAAAATTCACTGAACTTAAATGCCAGCTAAGATAAAATGACAGACCTCAGTCTTTGTAGCATTATGTAATACTGAAGAATGCAACAACTGAAATAAGTTACTGGTACTTTTGACTAAAAAAATAAATAAATAAATAGAAATTCAGGCTTAATCTAAATTTTAAATATTAACAAGTGTTCCATTTCTATTATGTTTTTCCTCAGAAAAAGTTGACCTTCCAAAAGATAATGATGCACTGCAAAAGACTGAAAGTGACACTCTGAGAAACATCTCTAATAGGCCCGTTATCTAGGGGCCCTTAAAGTGCCACCAGTAGCTTTTGCAGTGCAAGTGTGCAAATCAGAAAAGTTCTCCTTTTTCAAATACAAATACTATAACCCCATATACTTTCACAAAGGAACTTTGTCTTGGCTACACACACACACACATATATATGCACTAACATTCTAAACTTACACATACACACTCAGAAATAGAGACACAATGCACCTATTCCTTCCTCTCAACTCTTCCCTACCTAGTAATGACTATGTCAGGTTGGGGGTTAATATAGGAGTGGACTGACAAGAGAGGGAGACATAATCTCATGGGATGCCCAAAATGCAGAGGCAACTATTGTGTGTGCCAAAGAGGGTATATCTGCCTGTTCAGAATTCTGAGTGTATAAACTACAATATATATATTGTAATATATATATATATATATATATATGTGTGTGTGTGTGTGTGTGTGTGTGAACTATTTTAGCTAC